ACAACAGTTCTATCCAGATGGGGTTTAGTGTAACAACAGTTCTATCCTGATGATATCTAGTATAACAACAGTTCTATCCAGATGGGGTTTAGTGTAACAACAGTTCTATCCAGATGGTGTTTAGTGTAACAACAGTTCTATCCTGATGATATCTAGTATAACAACAGTTCTATCCAGATGATATCTAGTATAACGACAGTTCTATCCAGATGATATCTAGTATAACAACAGTTCTATCCAGATGATATCTAGTATAACAACAGTTCTATCCAGATGATATCTAGTATAACAACAGTTCTATCCAGATGATATCTAGTATAACAATACTTTTATCCAGATGGTATCTTGTGTAACAATAGTTTTATCCAGATGATATCTAGTGTAACAATCGTTTTAATGAAATGATATGTAGTAGTATAACAATACTTTTATCCAGATGGTATCTAGTGTAACAATAGTTTTAATCAGATGATATCTAGTAGTATAGCAATACTTTTATCCAGATGGTATCTTGTGTAACAATAGTTTTATCCAGATGATATCTAGTGTAACAATCGTTTTAATGAAATGATATGTAGTGGTATAGCAATACTTTTATCCAGATGGTATCTAGTGTAACAATAGTTTTAATCAGATGATATCTAGTGTAACAATAGTTTTATCCAGATGATATCTAGTGTAACAATCGTTTTAATGAAATGATATGTAGTGGTATAATAATACTTTTATCCAGATTGTATCTAGTGTAACAGTAGTTTTAATCAGATGATATCTAGTGTAACAATAGTTTTAATCAGATGATATCTAGTGTAACAATAATTCTATCCAAATGGTATCCAGTATAATAATATTTTTAATCAGATGGTATCTAGTGTAACAATAGTTTTAATCAGATGATATCTAGTGTAACAATAATTCTATCCAAATGGTATCCAGTATAATAATATTTTTAATCAGATGGTATCTAGTATATCAACAGTTTTTTAGTGTAGTGTTGTGTATTTTTCAGGAAAAATGCGATAGTAACTAGTTTTACATGGTTAATAGTAACCATGTAGTGTACCAAATATATATATAGAACAATGTGAAGATGTCTAACTTTACACGGTTAATGGTAACCACAGAGCACAGTGTACAGTGGGACTGTATGATAATATCAAATTTTACACGGTTAATAGTATAACAAAGATACAGTATATAGAGCTAGGTATTCGTTATACAGGGTTAATAGTAACCACTTAGTATAAGAAAGGTGCAGTAGAGATAATAAATAGTTGTATATGGTTAATAGTAACCACACAGTGACTTGAACTGATGTGTTTGTTATGTATCATTCAGAAGTAATGTAATAGGATCTTCACTTAAAACTAAGTGCATCGTATAATATAAATATATGTCGTAAAACTGAAGGTTGAGTATTTTTCAGAATTAATATCTATCTAGGTCGAGATGGTTAATAGTAGCCGAAACAGACGATATATCGTGAAACTTGCAATACATTGTTGTTGATGTTCATTTTTTTTGTACACTACGCACGACCAATAATACACACAAACACACACAGAAAAGTAGAGTTGTTAAAATACGTCACTAATCATGGTTAATAGTATAAGTGTAGGATAGTACAGCTGGAAATACTAGTTGTATAGTGGTTGTTCGCTTATGACACTTTACTATTAACAGTTAATATGCAATATAGTAGAGGGAACTGACGAATATATTTATGGGAAATGCACACACAGTTTACTTAACTCAGATGTTGATAAACCAGCCACTCTAACATTACGTTCTTATTTCAAAATTCTTTTTACTTTTACACTCGCAACCATATTAGAAAATGATACTTAGAAATGTTCTATTAACTTCAACAGTGCTGGGCTTTTACGGGAAAACTCTTCAGTGCTACAAAAGAAAATACCAGTAAAAAATGCTAGCCTCAACTATATCGATCCTGGCGGGGGGGGGGGGGGGGACAGAGCTGACGATTATTTTTTTTTATTACAGAATATGTCAGTTTGACGTTTTGTTGATAAGAGGGTATCTCGAGACACTCCAACTTTAAATCGTTTTATCTGTGTAAACGTCACAGGTTTAGATATTTTTCTAAGAAGTTCAAGCTTCTATCTAAAATAAGAAAGAAGCTGTCGTTATCGTTTTTTTTTACACCACTGCTTAATC